CCCCGCCACCGCCGGCAATGAGAAGCAGCAGGAAGAGAGACAGCAAAAGAACGCTGCTAACTGCTAGTGAGCTGTGAACTCAAGTGGGAGTGCTTTCCAGCTGTCACAGCGATCAGGGCACATACACACACACACACACACACATACACTCTCCAACGCATCTCACGATCCGTGCTGCCATATCAACTCTCGGGCCGCGGATCTGATGAGGAAGAGCTTGAAGCCGACTTTGACGAAGTATCTGCCTGTTCGCTTGATCGTGCCCGAGCCCGAGCCAGTGCACATCACCCCGCCGCTCCACCCCACCCGACATCTTCGCAAAGTGCAGGGCAAGAGGAGGTGGCTTCTCGATTTTCGGATCGCCTGCGACTGCGACGTGCATTTCTGCGTTGTGCTTTGGTCGCCATGGCGAATGGCAGGCCCCCTGCCCCACAGTGAAGTCCCGAAGCCAAGACTGCCAGCTTGAGCCAAAATGGCTACGGCCACCAACAACACCAATAACGACAACAACACCAACGCCGACACTACTACTACTACTACTACTACTACTACTACTACTACTGCTACTGCTACTACTACTACTACTACTACTACTACTACGACTACTACCATCACTCCAACTACCACAACGACTACGACCAAACGGTGTCATTGACCTTGACATCGATCCCGTCCTAGGGAACTGCAACTTGCAGTCTGAAACGCATTTGCGACATGCGAAGATTTTCTAGCAGGCATACAGGAAACGGAACAAAACAGATGCCTTGTACTCAATTTCCCTACAACTTACTTAAGCTGCAAGCCCTAAGATCGAGTCTGAACCCGAAACCATATAAACCCAAAACAAAGCCCTCAGAACCCTCTAGAACCATACAGCCTTTGCAAAGCCTTCACAACCGTCAGAGATCTCCTAAACCGTTCGAGCCCTTGTACAGACCCATCTAGAACAAACTCCAGAACCCTGTCGTGAAGAAACCGAAACACCCTAAACCTTAAACCTAGACTGAACCCAAACCTAAAGCCCCGTAAACCCAAAACTAAACCCTAAACCCTAAACCCTACATATCCCTAAGCCCTAAACCCTGAAACTCCTAAACCCTACCTCTCCCTAATTAGCCTAAGCCCTAAGCCCTGAAACTCCTGAAAACCCCGGCCTCGTGATTGCTGAAGCCTTTGTCCTCAACGAGGAAATCCACGAGGAAGGGTTCGGTGGGCTTAAACTGCGAAAAGAGTACCAAGCCATAGAGCCTCAGTGAGAGGCTTTAGGGTTTAGGCTTGGTTTTGGGGCTTAGGGGTATAGGGTTTTAGGGCTTAGGGTTTAGGTGTTAAGGGGTTTAGGGTTGAGGGTTTTCGCAGAGTTTCATGCGGTTTTTGTATTTATAACTCAGGGTTTACGGGTGTTTATGCTTCGGGATCTTAGGGCTTTTCGGGGCTCTTGGGTCCAGGGTATTTTGGCTTTTTAATGGGTGCCATAAGGGTCTTGTAAGGGTTGGATTAGGCTTCTATTAAGCCTCTATAAGTGTGTTCTATTGAGTTTAAGGCTTTATAGGGCTCTGTAAAAGGGGCCGGAAATGGTAGGTTTACGGTCAAGGCGACGCGGTTCCTTTAAGTATTCGATAAAGGGCTCCTTTCAGGGGTTTTAAAGGAGGGTTGGCCCCCAAGGCATCTCCGATTCGGCTACATTCCGTGGACTGTCGAAACCCAAGTTGGCCGACAGCTTTCCAGCCCAGAGGCCGGAAACATACCGGCTCACGTCCACCGGCACTCCGCGGTCAACAACACATTGCCGCAGCCTGTAGTTTGTCACTGACCCAGGCATTGCGAACAGCTCCAGACACAGATGCACGAATGCGGCCAAAGCCCCAGTCTTCTTACCATGCATCATTGGAACAGCTGGACCGAAGAACAAGCTGCGATGTACCTTACTTCCGGCCGATGCGGACGCGAAGATCTGCTGAACATCCAGATCATCGCGTGTGGTCTTTACACTCATGCGATGCCGAGGTGGCAGGTTTTTGTTTGAAAAGATCTGACGGGTCTTCAGCGGGGTGGTGTCTTGGGAATATTGCACCAGAACAGCACCACCGCCATATTGTCGGAGGAAATCCGTTAGCAACTCTGTCTGCAACTGACGTATGCAGTGGACATAGCAGCTAAACCCTAAACCCTAAACCCTAAACCCTATAAACCCTAAACGCCTTTTCGAAAGACTGAACCCAACTGGCTCGCCCGCACAAGCACATGGTTGGCTCCGGCTGCAGCTACTTTAGGGGGCATCTGGGTTTAGGGTTTAGGGTTTATAGGGCTACTTTAGGGGGCATCTGACGCTCCAAATGTTGCAATGGCAATGCACATTGCCGAAGCGGCTTTCACAAAAGGAATCGTAGGGACCATGCTGATGCTAATCGAGGCAGCTACGATGCAGCAAACGTCAGGAGCCTCACTACGAAATTCTCAAGCGCCAGAATCCGCAAGAAACCCGGTGCACAGTTGAGGGGCACATCCAACTCTTCAGGGCTTAGTTCCGGTGGTGATTCTCCTTGTTCGTTCTTTGGTGCATCTTCCATTTCCTCTTCAACCAAATCCTCGTACTCCAAGTCTTCACCTTCTATGGCTGTCAAATCTTCATGTTCATCCCAATGGTCTAGACTTAGCCGCGGCGGATGCTATCTTTGGGCTCCCCATTTGGACCCAGAGGTCGGGTTCAGGGGTTTTGGGGTTTAGGGGTTTAGGGTTTGGGGGTTTACGGTTTAGAGGTTTAGGGTTCAGGGGTTTGGGGGTTTGGGTCTTTGGGGTTTAGGGGTTTAGGGATTAGGGGTTGAGGGTTTAGGGGTTTAGGGGTTTAGGCGTGTAGGGTTTAGGGGTTTAGGGTTTACCCTAAGCCGCAAACCGTGGCTTTTTTGACAATGACATCCACTTCATAATTCCCCTTCCGAGCTTCTCCTATCTGCAGAACGATGTCCGACACTCGAAAAGGCCTGTAGACTAGAACAAGGTAAAATCTCGCAGCCAGAAGCCCCACCCGAAAGCGTGAAGGTAGTAGTCGTCCTGCGTTGATACCATATATGGTATAGACGGGACTCACAACCCTCTCTGTGTTTTTGGCTGTAGTTCTCTTTCCCCCTAATATAGATCCCACAAAAAGTTGCGCGTTCCTTTGGTGGCGCAGGAGAGCTTAGGATCCCGACCAGAGGAGGCCGTGAATGTCAGACCTGTCCCCACTTCGAAGCTCAGGCTCCAGTGGTTTACCTGTAGTCTCCGTTGTAGTTCCTTTTTGGAAATACCTTAAATCCTTAGTATATAATTGGTTAAACCACAAAAAAGGAACTACAATGGAGACTATAGGTAGGGTTCAAGGTTTGGAACGGGGATTCTGGGTTTAGAAAACCCTGAACCCCAAACATCCCTACACTCAACCTTCGAAGTTTTATTGAGCTTCGGAGTGATCTTACTTGTGAGGCGTGCCGCATTTGGGTACGCGCAGCAAATTTCGGGTTCAGGAGATTTCAGGAGAGATTCAGGGTTCACGTTTAGGGTTGAGCGTTTAGGGTGCAAAATGACCGTGCTGCTGATGATGATGACGACGACGACGACGCAGGTGACGTCGCCGCAGCTGCTCATGCTGCTGTTGCCGTCGCTTTTGATGGTGGTGGTGGCGGTGGTGGTGGTGGTGGCCATGAAGGTCATCACAACGGTGTCGCTATGGGTCTCCATGACTCGTTAAGAAAATGTGACCCTAACCCTGAAGGTACCTACTAAAAAGGGCCCTAGGGGCTCTAGTACCCTAAAGGGGAGTTTGCGAAAATAGGGGATATGGTACCCCAAATAATAGGATCCTTATTATAAGGACCCCAGAATAAGGTACCCCTTATTTTCGGAAACTCCCATATAGTAGGGCCTAAACCCTAAACCCTAAACCCTAAACCCTAACCCCTAAACCTAGGGACCTGGGGGGTTAGGGTGAGCTCGCATTTCTGTGTCGCAGGCCTCTGCTAGCAGGGCAGCTTTGTCCCAGAAACGAGTCATGGATTCCAGCTCCTTCCGCTCTTCCTTATGCATGCTCTTTGCATACCCATAGGCCCCCATAGTAGTTCCTTTTGGGGGTTACCTGATAGGATTCTATATATGAACCCCCAAAAGGAACTACTTTAGGGCCTATGGGTAATGTAGGCTTATGCCTGCTCTTCCCAAAGGGTCCAAGTACCATTCTAGTAGGTACTTAGTAGGCATTTGGGCCCCGAAAGTATAGGGTCCAAGTAACATTATAGTAGGTACTTAGTAGGTATTTGTGCCCCGAAAGTATATACTATACTAGTACTTGGACCCTTTAGGTAGTGTAGGACCCTAAACCCTAAACCCTAAACCCTAAGGAAGCTGATTGAGAGCCCGCTGGCTTTCTATCCCCCAGGCACTACGCAAAGGATCAGGATCCCACGTTCAGCACCCTCGCTTGAAAGCAGGGAAGTCTTAATCATTGGGCTCCTGCATTCTAGGATTTGCATTCTGAGTTCTGCAGAGATTCTCATCATGTTCTTTTTTCAGCTGTGGCTTCTACAAGGCCGACGAGTATTCTCCTTTGTCACACTTATGCTCTGACATCGCAGGGGGGGGGCCCTTTGAACTGTTCCATGAAATGCCATCCAGAGGCATGGTCTTGGTCACAGAGGTCCATGTCGCTCTCGGTTGGTCTAAGCTTACCCTAACCCTCCAGGTACCTACTATATAGGGCACTAGGGGCTCTAGTACCCTGTATAGTAGGTACCGGGGGGGTTAGGGTTAAACACTGTCGTCAGGATCGAGCTTTGCGTTCCAGGATCAGAATGCTGTTGAACAAGGTCCCAGACTGGCTATACGGCTTCGCCGAACACGCAGCCATGCTATACACATGTCCAACCCCCACGCACAAGAAAGGGTGCTTGCATAAGTGAGCCCATGGAAAGCTCTGTGACATTTTCTCTCCAAAAACATGACTGTGGCCTAAATCCCAAAACCCATAAACCCTAACACAACCCATTGCTCACATTTACTGCGGCATCTGCGAAGCTGCGCTGGCCAACAAGGTGGATCTCCGAGAAAAGCCTGACGAAGTAATCGGCGATATGAACTACTGAGTTCGCAGGACTTGGCTAACTATTGTTATTACTATTCTTATATTCTTATGCTTGCTATTTCGACTACTCTTATATACTCTTATGACTACTATGACGACTATGACGGCGGTGATTGCCACTATTACTACCGAGAGTGTATGAACAGAAAACCTTCCACTACATGGGGCCATCCTTTCCTTTTGATTCCTTCTTACCCTTACACATGAAAATGTGAAGATATACAAGAAGAGAGAGAGAGAGTGTGTGTGTGTAATGGATATATATATATATATATATTTTTTTTATTTATTTATTTACATATTTATTTATTTATATGTATATATATATATATATTTATATATATATATATATATCTGTCTGTCTGTCTGTCTGTCTGTCTGTCTGTCTGTCTGTCTGTCTGTCTGTCGGTCTGT